TATATATATATATATATATATATATATATATTTTTTGCTTGGGCAGTTGCACTCTCAGAGCTTGGGGCGGCAAATTTTTTGCTTGGGGTGGCAAAAAACCTAGAGCCGGCTCTGCTTAGACTCCACTCAGAGGCTCCATCTTTTATATCAGCCAGTGAGTCAGAAAAACATGAAGCCTTCTCTCTCACCATCTGTATCTGGCTTCTTTCTTTGAAGCTTCCACAGCAAAGCCTCCTGGTTTTTGTAGGAAGGGAGGATTTCGTCACAGCCTCCTGCCTGCTGGAGGACATGAGGGTGTTTCCACTACTCCAACCTCATATTTTGTTTTGTTAAATTCCCTTCTCCTGTAATAGTTACAGCTGCTTCCCAAGTAGCAGCAGAATGAAAATGGGATTATTCTTGGCAGGCTCACTGCTGCCAATAAGCTTATGAAGCTTATTAAGTTGTGAAACTGACTGAGGTTGTGTTAATTTTACTTAGATACAGTTTGGCAAAGCCCTGAGCAGCAGCAGAGGCACTGGTACCATCTGGCTGCAGACTCAGGAAAAGAGAACAGGTTTACACCTTGGCAACCATAATGGGTAAAAACATGGCCTTTCTCGAGGGGGTGCCATGCTGGAGGGGAGGGTTCCCCACGTGCCCCACGGGAGAGGAGGGATCCCCCCCGGACCTCACTGGCGGAGGGGGAGGTTCCCCAGGATGCCCCCTCCTGGCCGCCGAGGAGGAAGGAGACCTCCTACAGCTGCCCCAGGGTCTCACCCAGTTCAGCCGGTGTCGGCTGCTCCCTCAACCGTTTCCTCGGCTATCGACTCGTTCTTCCTGGGCCCTAGCGGAACGCCCCGGCTCCCCATGGGTGGGCAACTGCGACTTCGGAGCCAGACCGGAGCAGTAGATTCGCCGATAGCATCGATGGGGGCGGTAACGGCTCTTCTTGGGAGGCGGAGGGAGGTTTGAAATGGCCGGAAGAGCTCGGGCTGCTCCGCGCCCCGGAGCGGCCGGGGCAGGCGGCTCCTTCCGGCCAGGTGCTGAGGGCGGAGATGGCGACCAAGCAGCTGGCCCGGTGCGGACCATAGAGGCTGCACTGGGGGCGGGGGGCAATGGAGGGGGGAGGCGTGTAGAGGAACGAGGGACGAGGAAGGCGCTGGGGACGGACTGGATGGAGGGGGGTTGAGGGGAGCAGGGCAGGGGCGCTGGAACAATGTGTATAGTGGGGGTGCTGAGAGCCATTGAACCAAACTGTAACCCCTGTGTCTGATGGAAGCCAGGGGGTGCGGCAGCCCCCCCCCCCACACCTATGTGTGAAGGGAAATGAGGGGGACTGTGTGTGGAGGGGTGTGGATAGGTAAGGGGGCAGAGAGGGGTCCACTTTATTGTGCCCAATTTTTAAACGCTTCAGTTTGAGAAGCTCATTATGATTCGTGCCATGGTTTGATTGGGGCAAATTGTTCCGTACACCGATTAGACTGTAACTGAAAATGGTACATTCACCACTATGACTTCATTGTTTTGTGTCCCCAAAGCTGTTAACAAAATACATATAAAACAAAAACATGTAAACAATGTAAGATGTTATATTCTTGGTAACTGAGCTAAACCACTAATACCCCCTGTCAGCCTGCCACCTGGAAGCGGGCAGGGAGGGGGGTGAGTGTGAGAAAATAAATGTAGTAACAATATACAGCTAAGATTACAATGGAAATGCATTCTTGAGACTATCCCTAAAGATTTTTGGGATGCAGCCAACATAGAGATTAATTGAGGCTGCCATTACAGTTAGTTTTTGTGGTTTTGGTTTGCAAATGTACCCAGAAGCTTAAGTAAACGGGTGCATGTTTTTGTTACTCTAATACATACATTTTGGTGTACCTTGACAGGGAGAGAAATCCCAAGGAGATCAGCCCTTAAAAGAAAAACTCTTTGTACTCCAGTGTGATTAGAGATTCCAGTCCCACCAACTGATGGATAGTTCATCAGTTGAAACAGTTCATCTTGTACGTTGTTGGGTTCAATTGTAATAGCTAATTTATTCATGATTCTCTTTGATTTAAGGCAACTTGGATTAATTAGAAAAAGTTCCATAACTTCCTCAAATGGCAAGAATCAGACTAGAACCAAGTCAAGTAAGTGGTATGTTTCCTTCTTAATGTAAATCTTTTAATTTTATAAACAGTGATACAGATTTACAAGGTGCTTTTATGTGTTGCAGGGCAGTCGTTTGACTATTTAATTATTATTGACTTTGAGTCTACATGTTGGAAAGATGGTAAACGTCATTACAGCCAGGAAATAAGTAAGTGGAAATGTAATAATGTCTGATAGCAGTTGCATCTAAAAAAAGTTTGGCTTATTTAGTTAAAAGTAAAATAGGAATAATTTAATTGCAGAGTTTTTCTTTTAAAAGGAAACCAGGAAAGAAGTGTCATTATTCACTTTATGAAGTGTCAGAAACTGTATATCCAAACTATCAGCCTTTTGCAACTTGAAATATAGATTATTAAATGTCATGCTATATCATGTAATGATATATATATATATCATTTGCATTAAAATTAGATAGGGCTATCAATTGCACTGATATTAGTTTGCAAATTAAATAATTTAATCTTATGTTTCTATAAGTAAGCGTTCTTTGATATAATAGTTTAATTTAACACTCTGCTAGAATACACATTCATGCTCTGATATATTGAAATAAGTATTATTCAGAATTGTATATATTATGATACATACGAAAAGGAGAAATTTTCCATTAATATAAAATCACTATCTGGGGGCACATTCTGCCTTATTTATGGTATCTACGTTTGCTTAACAGTCATGTAATTTAAATCCTAATATAAAGCAACTTGAATCATTTATACAAATAACCTTTTTTTAAATCTAGTTGAATTTCCAGCAGTTTTGTTAAACACTTCAACTGGAGAGATTGAATCTGAATTCCACATGTACGTCCAGCCTGAGGAACATCCAATTCTTTCTGAATTTTGTACTGAACTAACTGGCATAAAGCAGGTAAAGTCTTTATACTATACATTACAGGAGGCTTATAATTTAGTTAAAAAAATTTAGGATCTTAATTTTGGAAACAGTCCTGTTTACAGCTGTGCAGAAAGATATTTTTTCTGACAGTCTAAAAGTGCATATATTGTTTAAACATGAGATGAGCACACTAACAGATGTTTATATGTGCCTTTTGTTCTATCCTATCAAGAATCAAGTTGATGAAGGGGTTCCTCTCAATATTTGCTTATCACAATTTTCTAAGTGGATTCAAAAGATACAAAAGGAGAAGAAAATAATTTTCAATTCAGATGTTTCAAGCCATTCTGTTTCTGAAGCAAAATCAAGTACCTTTGTTACTTGGTCAGGTAAAGAACAGTTTTTCTTTGTTTATTTTTTTGCTCGAATTTAGTATTCATAAAAGTGAAACACTGATGGTGTGGGTTAGACTCTGGCATAGTATAGGCAGGTGTAAATGCAAATTTTTGTACCACAGCTCTGCAGTGTGTCACAGTCCTAACTTCAGGCCTCAGTCCTACGTCATGCCTGCTGTCTCTATACAGTGTCTGGGAGCATATATTTCTGATCTGTACCCCATTGTTGTGTGTCTATGATGACAATATATATTGGGACTAGACCAAAAAAATACATTTAATTTGTGATTATTTATCCTGAGATGCTCCCTGTGTCTTTGTTTCCAGGCTCTGAGGTTCATTCCACATTTCCTTTGCTTTATAGTCACCGTGGCATGTCACCATACTTCTAGGTTAAGACACCTGGCCGGGAGGTCCTTCAGAACCTATCCAACATGATTCTTTAATCAGGTCATTGTGAAGTGACATACATCACTTGTTTTCTCTGATGACAAGTTGCAGCAATCCTAATACTTTGGACTAAAAACAAGACTACAGATTAACAATTTAGTTTGTATTTCTTTCATGGGACTGCTGGACACTACTAACAGGCCAGTGTTCTGTCCTATTTACATATGATTTAAGCCAACTTTGAAGCGAGTTCTCGACAGATATATTTAGTGTAGGGGTAGGCAAACTACGGCCTGGGAGCAGGGTTGGGGGCCACTCCACATAGCTCCCGGAAGCAGCCGCATGGCCCCCTCTCTGGCTCCTATGTGTAGGAGCAGCCAGGGGACTCCACTCTGCATGCTGCTCCCGCCCCAAGTGCCACCCCCACAGCTCCGGGAACCGCGGCCAATGGGAGCTGCAGGAGCAGTGCCTGCGGACGGGGCAGCATGCAAAGCCGCCTGGCTGCGCCTCCACGTAGGAGCCAGAGAAGGGACATGACGCTGCTTCTGGGAGCCGCTTGAGGTAAGCGCTGCCTGGAGCCAGTACCCCTGAGCTTCCCCCTGCACTCCAACCCCCTGCACCAGCCCTGATACCCCTCCCACCCTCCGAACCCCTCGGTCCCAGCCTGGAGCATCCTCCTACACCCCAAACTCCTCATCCCACAGCCTGGAGCCCCATCCTGCTCCCTGAACTCCTCATTTCTGGACCCACCCCAGAGCCCACACTCCCAACCAGAGCCCTCACCCCTTCCTGTACCCCAACCCCAATTTTGTGAACATTCATGGCCCTCCATACAATTTCTATTCCCAGATGTGGCTCTTGGGCCAAAAAGGTTGCTCACCCCTGATTTAGTGCCTTCAATTACTTGGCCAATCAGTTCCCCGTATAAGGAAAGCGAAGCATTCTGCCTGCAGTGGTTATTTTGTAAACCATTGTGGTTAGTTTATTTTGCTGATCTATTAAGTGTTTTTATCAAATTCTAGTTTATTCAGATTTGATCAATCCACATACTTAGTAATCATGAAAATAAAGAGTGAAAAGTTTGTTGTTTTTGTCTCGTGCAGACTGGGATCTGGGGGTTTGTTTGCAGTATGAGTGCAAAAGGAAGCAGCTGCGAAAACCTGATATTTTAAACTCTTGGATTGATCTCAGAGCAACATACAAGGTGAGAAAATCAATAGATTATATGGGTAAAAATGTTTCACCTCCACCTCCAAGGATTAAGAATAGATAGTGAAGGTACAAGTAACTAGGGTTACCTATTTGTTCCTTGTATGCATGTACACACATTTTATTGATCAATAGAAAAGAACAATGTATCCTTCAGAACCATACACATTTTAATTCTAGAAGGCTTGATTTTACAGACAAAATCTGTATCACTTGTTATACTGTCAGTAGGCCTATGAGAAATTTTCCAGCTGTTTTGACTTTCCTGCCATCTCTTGCTCTTCCTGCTTTCTTTCCTTTCTGGTCTGTCATGCTTCCATTACTGCTTTCCCCCCTTGGCTAAAACACAGTAAGCTTCCTCTGCTTAGATAGCACTTCTGAATTTAGCACAAGAATTGGGGTTTTCCCAGTTAGTGCATTCTAAATAGCACGACTGGTATTGTAAAAACGAATGACAATAAAATACTCTTGACTGGTCTAAAATTATTTGAATAGAGTCACTTTTCATTTACCATAGCAAAATGCATATTCTGTGTTTCTCAGCAAACAAGAAATATTAGGTGTTTCTTGGAATACTTTCTCTGTGTTCCATTTAAAAGGAATTTACACCACGTACTACAATTTAAATGAACAGACTGATGCAATTTATAGTTGTATTCCCAATAGGCTATTCAGTTACTTCTGTCTTAGATGCAAACTGTACATATGTAACTGAAGAATTTGACAGGGTAAGGCAGCAACAGTGAATTGGTTAATATAGTATAACATTTTAGAAATTTTTTTCTTTTTCTTAGCTCTTCTACAATAGAAAGCCAAAAGGACTAAATGGTGCTTTACAGGATCTGGGGATAGAATTTGCAGGACGGGAACATTCTGGTGAGTACAACATGACAGTTCTTGTTAGAGAATCTGTTTCATGAAGCTGATCAAAATACAGCAATTATAACCCTAATTATTTCCATGTTATGTAATGTTCTGCATTACAAAAAAAAAATCTGAATAAGAGGGACTGGATGATTCAGGACACTGGGCTTTTCATTTCTAAGATCTGATTCTGCAAGGTCTCCAGGCACAGAACTTTCACGGAAGTCAATTGCAGTGCTTTGTGTAGAGGACTTGTAAGATTGGGCTCTAAGTTACTAGTGAAAAAAAGGACCAAAAGTTGGTGCCATCTGGTAGCAGTTAATACACATCACAAAAACTATTAGCAGTTTGATGATCATGATAAATGGAGAGATCCCCAAAGATTGGAATAATCATGGAAGTTTCCACCCACACAGATTGTAACTCTCATAGTGTCATGTAGAGGAGCTTGAACTGCTACAGCCCATCCTGTACCTGTACTGTGGATGAATATTTTTCATTGTTGTCTGTATCCCTTTTAACAAGCACTACATTCTCTTAACTCTCCCCTAAGTAAGTCATTAGGCTACTTATCATTACTATTGCCAGTAGTATATTAAAATAACAAAGAGTTTATGATAACATGTCTTCTGAAGGGTTGGATGATTCTCGGAATACTGCCCGTCTTGCTTGGAGGATGATCTGTGATGGATGTGTGATGAAAATTACTAAATCTTTGGATAAGGTTAGTGACTTCTTCATATCTTCCTTTCTTCTTGTCTCAAGTCCCAGAGTGCAGACAAAAGGTGAGTTCACTGAAAAAACAAAACAAACACTTTAAACTTGAATTTGAGTTAAAGCATCCTTCGCAGACTCTCTCATTTGTCTCATACATTGATTTCTAAAACCTGTTGACATCCAATTTTCAAAATCTTGGATTTGCTTATGGAATCCCTAGGTACATCCAAAGAAGAATTCAGTGTCCAGATCTTTGAATGTGAACCCCACTGAAGAGAATCCACTGGGAAGTGATGATGGTGCTGAAACTTCAGCTAAAGATAGAATTTGCAACAGCAGCTGTCTAGCTGAGAATGAACATAATAAAATTGATAAAATGGTTATAAACTCCAATGTAAAGGGAAAAGACCAGCAAGAGTCCAGTTCTACAAGTTCCTCTGCAAATGTCCATATTGGATCTAGAATCAGTACAAAGATTGATGGATGTGGTCAAACCCAAAGCTGCTTACCTCCACGTATTGGCAGACTTCCTGTTCCCTTTGGACAACTACAGGCTTCTCATTGTAATTTACTGACGGGCATCCAGAATGGATTAAATAATGGACATCTTATTTCTACTTCCAAGTATAGTTCTTCAGTACTTGGTTCAGGGCTAGTGCTTGTCTCCACTACTATTTCCTCTGTTAATATCTCTAATGTAGATATAAGTACTAGTTCTGATTGTTTATCTATGTTGGCTGATTGGGAAGATGTAGCTTTAATACCAGAATCACAGCATGAAGAAAATACAGACTCTGTGAAGCTTAAAGATGACCCAGATGCAAAGACTTCATCAGTCTCTGGAGAAGGGATGGTTTTGAAAGAACCAGCTATGAAGAATTCAGACTTTGAATGTTTGGAGCAACGTAATGAACATTTGGAGGCTTCTAAGTCTATTGTGTACAAAAGTCCTAATACTACTATCTATGATGTAGGATTAGCCCAAAGGCAAGCCTTAAATTGTTCTGCTTTTAAGTTACCATCTGCGAAGGTAAATGCTACTTTATCAAGTACAGTATTAACTGGAAATCATTCCACCCCTTTCTCTCAGACTCCTAAGAGGAAACCATCTAGTCCGAAAACTTTACCTCCATCAAAAAAACAGTCATTCACTGTACATGAAGATGAAGCTGCATCTTCTGATCAGCCCCTATCTTTGAGAAATTCAAGTTCATACAAAGTGCCTACTGTTATCTTAAACTCCACAGTTTGCCTGAATCAATCTTTAAAAGCTGTGAAAAGTGACAAACTAACTCCACCCTTATGTAATTGTGGTCGAAGGGCTAAAAGACTAAATGTGTCCAGTGCTGGTCCAAATCATGGCGAAGTATTCTACAGTTGTCCTGTTGGAAAACATGAAGGGAAGAAGAGAGGCTGTGGATATTTCAAGTGGGAGCATGTACTTCTAAAGGAAAAATCCACTAATGCTATTTCTACTCTTTCCCCCACTGCAGCTGGTTTAACATCTCCTGGAATAAACTCAGATTCTTCAGGAAATTCTCACAGGAAATATCCGGGTCTCAGACCTTCTATGAGAACTTGAATGTTAATTAATTTTTGTCCAAATCTTAACATATGCTAAGTGTTCACTCATACTACGAAAAAAATTAAGCAAATGATGCCACAGATTTCAATTTTATGAGGATTGGGCATAAGTGACATTGCTGGGCTTACTTCAGATCAAAATGGAACTCGTGAAGCATAAGTGGAGACAGTCAGACATTAATAACTTGAGAATTTGAGGAGGTTAGCGTGACTAACATGAAAGTATAAGCAGCTGGTATCCCAAGTTTTAATATTTTTATTCTCTCATCAGGTATTTTTATTCTCTCATCAGGTATTTTAGATTTTTTTTTACCAGCCCAATCCTTAAATATTAGTGTTAGTGATAAAAATTTTGTTTATGCGACTACATTTTCCTAAAAATACATCTGTATATAAATAACTCTTTACAATGTATGCATATATCTTTAACTCTCTGTCTAAGAAATGATACTTGAAGCAGTAATGATGGTTTTTAAATTATTTTATATAGTCTTTATTACTGAAATGAAATAAAGATAAACGTACATTCCTGTGACATTTTGAGTAAATAAACTTAAAAGTACCATAGCAAAAATGTTAACCCTTCAGTTGATGTAACATTTATTTTTCTATCGGTCTATCTCTAATCTCACACCATGCTCATTACACAGTGTCTGGGACAGTCAAATGTTGTGTCAAGGCAGATATTTAGATACCTGTACTTTATTTAATAACAGATTTCAGAGTAGCAGCCGTGTTAGTCTGTATCCGCAAAAAGAACAGGAGTACTTGTGGCACCTTAGAGACTAACAAATTTATTAGAGCATAAGCTTTCGTGGACTACAGCTCACTTCTTCGGATGCAAGTGGGCTGTAGTCC